ATCCAGTACTTTCTGTAACATTTATTATATAAAAAAAAGAATCTCCCTCAAATTGTAAGGTAGCTTGCAACTTGGTCCCTCTGGTTAACTTGTGTTATGCAAAGGTAAATATTCAAATCCAACTTTTTAAATTCGTTGCTAATGAGATTTGAACCTGGATTGCTCTCATACCATCTTATAGTCTTGTTAGAAAAATAAAGAATCAAACAGAATTTCTGAGGCATGAAACACTTTCGTTAAAGAAATATTTGTCTCACTTGATAATTCAACTTTGTTTCAGGTTAATGTAAATTTTCTTATCATGATATAACAAAAAGTTAAGAATTCCAGCAAGAAAATCTAGAACTTTCCACTAATTTTTTGTGACACAAGTTTGTAGAATTGCAAATTTGTTGAGAGAAATGTTTTGAGAAAGAAGTAATTATTGATGTCTGAAATCATAGACTATTTATAGGTTTGAAAAAGTGTCTCCAATAGTCAAAACCTTTCAAAACACCTACTGGAAAAAAAAATAGTCATTTTCCAACAGTAAAAAACAACCATTTTCAATAGTCTACTTCTAACAGTCACTTGTTTGTTGATATTTTGATAAATTTAAAAAATTAAAACAACACTAACAGTAATAATGATTAAATGTTTTTAACCTTCTAAAAGAATGCTCAAATATCCAATGTGAGACTATTTTGTTTTTTACAAACGAATACTAACATCTCGGCCATTATGCCACAACTCCAAAGTTATAATAAGAATTGAGGATTATATGTTTATATTCTACCTTTTGGTACTGGACACAACACCATGATTGCTATTACAGAGGCGGGATTAGAATTTCCACTTCTGTTTCTAGTTTGGATAGTTGTTGTAGCGGATGCTGAGGCTCAAGGAAAGGTCTTCTTGAAACTAGAAGGTCTAACCTCGCTGCCACTAGTATCAATAGTACGCATGCAAAGAGTAAGGTGAATCACCATTGGGATCGATTAGGGATAGCAAAATTGACCCAAAACCATTTGCCCATCCATAGTCACCCGCTAAATGAACAATCCAAACCTACCCATTTAGTTAAATGAGTTATAAATGGGTGGGTATAATTTCTATTAAAGATAAATATGTCATAAATAGGCGGGCTATTACCCACCCATTTGCTCGTTTAGATGAGTATTCTTTTAAAAACACCCTCAATATTTCAACAATTACAAAACATATTTTTAAAAGTCAAATTGTAGAAAACACTTAAAATTACTAACAGCCCCTTAAAATTTTGAGATTTTTAAAAAACACCCTCAAAGTTTAAAATATTATAAAAGCACCATCAAGAGTTAAAAATTATAAAAAAAAACTCTCTAAACTTTCTAACCTCGCAAATGACACGTGAAATTCAAACATTACCAGCAATCCCGTGAAAATTTATAATTTACAAAAAAACAACCTTAAAAGTTTTAGAAAATGAGAAAAACACCCTCAAGAGTTCAAAATTACCAGATAATCTTAGAATTTTCTAAATTTGCAAATGACACATGAAATCTAAAAATTTTCATCAGTCCCCTATAAATTTAAAATTTGCAAATAACACCCTCAAAGTTTTAAATTTTTTAAAAAACATCCTCCATGGTTTAGAATTACAAAACCACCCTAAAATTTTAAAACCTACAAGTGACACATAAAATTCAAAAATTACCAGCAACCCCTTGTAAATTTATAATTTATAGAAAACACCCTCAAATTTTAAAAAAATTATAAAAAACATGCTCAAGAGTTCAAAATTATAAAACAATCTTAAAAGTTTCTAAACTTTCAAATGACACATGAAATCTAAAATTTTTTAATAGTCCCCTATATATTAAATTTGTAAATAACACCCTCATAGTTTTAAAAATTACAAAAAACACCCTCAAGGGATTAGAATTATAAAAACCACCTTGAAATTTCAAAACCTACAAATGATGCATGAAATCTAAAAATTACTACCAGGCCTCTGTAAATTTATAATTTACAAAAACTACCCTTAAGTTTTAAAAATTACAAAAAGTACCCTCAAGAATTCAAAATTATATAAAACCCTCAAAATTTTCTAAACCTATAAATGACATATCAAATTTAGAAATCTCTAACGTCCCCTTGTAAATTTAAAATTTTTAAAAATACACCAAAGTTTTAAATTTTTTAAAAAACACCCTTAAAATTTCAAAATTTCATAAAACACCAAAAAAGTTTGTAGATAAACACACTACAAACCTTGAAATTACAAGCATCTTCTGCAGTTATGTTTCCATAAATTTCAAACTTAGGGGTGTTTTTTATAATTTTTAAACTTTTAGGGTGTTTTTACTATTTTCAAATTTACAAGCGGTTGGTCGCAATTTCTGAATTTCATCTGTCATTTGTAGGTTTTGAAATGCCAAGGCAGTTTTACTAATTTAGGGTATTTTTTATAATTTTTTAAACTTTGAGGGTGTTTTTATAAATTAAAAAAATTTAGAGGGCTGCTAATAATTTTTGGATTTCATGTGTCATTTGTAGGTTTTGAATTTGCTGGGTGACTTTTGTAATTCTTAACCATTGAGGGTGTTTTTTGCAAACTTTAAAACTTTAAGGGTGTTATTTACAAATTTTAAATTTATAGGGGACTACTAAAACTTTTGAGATTTCATGTGTCATTTAGAAGTTTAGAAAATTCTGAGATTGTTTTGTAATTTTGAATTTCAGGGGATTGCTAATAAATTTTGAATTTCATGTGTCATTTGTAGGTTTCGAAATTTCAAGATGGATTTTGTAATTCTAAACCATTGAGGGTATTTTTTACAAATTTTAGAATTTTGAGGGTGTTGTTTGTAAATTTTAAATTTATAGGGGACTGTTGAAATTTTTTAGATTTCATTTATCATTTGCAAGTTTGAAAAATAGACTCATAAAACTTTTTTATATATAAAAGTCCAATTGCTAAATGAGTTATTGCGTCAACTATGAATCACCCATTAAATAAATGAGTGGGTGAGAAGTGATACATTTAGTAAATGTTAAATATGTTATAAATGAGCAAATGAGCACAAATGTGCCCACCCATTTATGATCCACCCAAAACCTAGCCAAAACCATCCATTTGACAACCTTCGATAGATGGAGTGATTTGAGGAGAACAAAGTTATGTAAGGCTTAGTTTTTTATCGATGTTAATATCTGTGAACTATGAAGATGAATAGTACGGGTCGATTATGAAATTTGTCACAAAGGAGGGAAAATAAAGACCTGAGAGCTTGAACTTGATAAGCTTTAAAGTCTATGGCTGAGTAAGGGATGAGAGTTGTTAGATGATAATAGTAGGGCAAGAATAGATTGTGACTGGGGTGAGGGGTTTTGGGTATTTGCATGAGAAATGGTGGGCTTTTTAAAGGTACAAAAAAATTTAGCCATTTTGACTTGGTCCTCTCCAATAGCTATGTGACATTGGAGAGAGTCAAAGAACTACAATTTC